ATCCTAATTTCCTTTCTTTTTAACCCCTCAACTTTTTAAAATTTTGCGATTAAGCCCCAAAACAATATTTTCCCTCATATAAGTCCCTTATTTAATGCTAAAATATCCCCAAAATTTTGGGATATTACATTCACCCCTCCTAAAAAGGAGTTTTGTCCCCAAAACTCAAATCGAGGATCATTTCGATTGGTGAATGGTTTCATACAACCCAAGACAAAACAGATGCCCCATCGACTTTCTCTGGTCAGAACATGACTTACTACGCTTCTGCTGCGCTACTTTGATATCAAACCACAACTATCACAAGAATTCAATCTCAAGACACACGGCTAACAATTACAGAGATACAACAATCGGATTTACTTTACAAGGACTGGATACTCATCACTATCCTAACAAGCCAACAACAATTCCTCAATCTCCACCCTCCCCAATGGCTATCTGGGAAGCGGGAGATAACTTCACGCCTTAACACAAGTAACTAAACTCGAGAGTTATTGGCGTGATTATGTGGTGCCCTTGACTCAAATCAAGACCCAGCACTCATCAAACACAACATGGCAGGAAGTCTAATGATGGATCCAATTAAACGATGAAACCCTATCCGAGACGAATAAACATCACTCGGACATACAGAATCATGAACGGATGAATGCATGCATATGCATGTATGAATGAATGCCTTTATACATGCATGTATGAATGCTCATGTGTGCATGCATGAATGCCCATGTGTGCATGCATGAATGCCCATGTGGGGATGCATGTATGCCCATATTTGCATTCACATATGAATGCCCAGATGAATACTCAAACAAACAAACCTAATGTGGAAGGCCTTATACATCCTTCCACAACCAAAACCAAGCATACTATCACAAGGGACCAAGTTTCAAACAAGGTCCAGGGAATATAGTGAGCAAGATTAATTTCAAAACTTCTCACAATCGACAGATAACAGGTACTGACTGAATTACTATCTCATCACAGCGGATCAGAAAATTCAGGCAGCACAAATCAGAATCATCCCTTGTATAACCCCATCACTCGTCTCACCACGGTTCTAAATCCCTTAACTAGCCAAGTTCAAAACATATCCTAGGTATTTACTTAAACCTAGGCTCGGATATCACAGAATCTTAATCAAACCTAAGCTCTGATACCACTAAATCTGTCACGCCCCAAAACCCGAATTCGAGGCACGACAGACGCCGTGCACTCGTGAGACGGGTTCCACAAATGCACAAGGCTCGGAACTTATTCAAATCACAAATCTCAAGAATAAAATCTCACTTACAAAAGGATGATAAAATCTAAAACTTATATCCAACTAGAATGGCTAGCCTTCTAACTCGTCACTCCCCTCGGTTTCCCCGTCCTCGGTTTCGCT